AATGAAAACAAATCTTGTAAAAATTTATTATTTATCAAAAAATGTTTTTCTTAATACAATAGTGCCCTCAATAGATCGTATTTATAAAAATAATTAAAAGTTTTCCTAATTAAATAAGATTGTAGTTTTATTGCATTTTTATTTTACGATTCAGAGCAGATGATATTAAGCATAATGTAAGCATGCAATTTCAATAAGTTTTTTTAAACATAATTTAATGGAAAAGCTTATTAATAAACTACACCTTGTATACCTTGAAAATTATCATCTTTACTTGTGTAAGGTTTATGATGGACATGGAGATAAAGAATTAATAAAGTAAAACACAAGATTTTGAAAAGAGAGAAAACAAAAACTAGTCGATGCATTTTACAGTGTTAGAAAGAACGATAATTCTTCCGAAAATCTCAATATCAAAGGCAAGTAAAAAATTCCTAAAGAAAAATAACCAACCATTTAAACAGCAAAAAATATGTTTTAATTTTAATATATTATTAAAAAATTGGAATTACTTCATGTTCGATTCCTAGACTAAAAAATGTTTAGTATAGCTTTTTTCCGAATTATAAAATATTTGTGCTTTAGTATTTACTGCAGTTAATCCCTCAAAACATGGAATGTATTTATTTGTGCTGGAAAGGGATATTATGTCTAGTTCATTTTTGAATTGGAAAGGAGGTGATTATCTGTTCCTCTGTTAGGACAGATTTTACTACAGCCAAATGAGATTTGTGTAGATATATTTAATATAAATATTACCGACGACATTACTTTCGCCTTTAATTAAGCCTCAGCAGACGATAGACTTTGTGGCGGCAGATGAACAGGCTCTGGCTTTTTTGCAGAATCATTCCAAAACAGCAAATGGTCCACCAAGCGGTATAAATTTCCATGAAGAGAGAAATAATGCTTCTCCGCATCGTCCTACTGATATCGAACATTTTAATGGTGTTCGATTGAATAGAATGAATGCGTTTATTTCCCAATTTCAGGCGCGGAATTTTAGCGAAAGAATACAGATACGGAGATCGAGACAAAAGTAGACGCTGGACCAAAAATAAATAACATACGCAACTTTTTAAAAAAATACTTTTCTTCATATCCGTATTATTTTCATTCTTTGTCAGGTGTAATGGACAGTTGTTCTTAGCCTTGCCTTTCACATCCCATTGTCGCTGAGCAAATGTCAACTAGCCGCCATCTTGTGCTTCTGCAATACCTAATTTATATTTTCGTTTTGTTCTTTCCCTTCCGATAAATATTATCAGTAAGATTGATCTTTTTCTGTATATAGTTTATTTTGAATTTATGTTGGCATCAAGTCTTTTCACTGGTTCCAACCTGCGAAAGAACATTGGCTTTCTTTTCCGATGCGGTCATAAGACGAGTTCACATATACAAGAAAATTTTCGACTCAAGCAAAAATAAAATTTTACATTCATCATTTTAAAAATATCAAAATAGCACAAAATAGATTTGTTTTTTATATATATATATATATATATATATATATATATATATATATATATATATATATATATATATATATTCGTTTAACTTATATATTCTGGTACAAGGCCAAAATGGATCAAGGCAGGAATGAGTGTTTTGCGCTAATCTTACATGCGAACGAAATGGGTTTACTTGACTTAAACATTGGCACAAAAACTTGAAAATGAACATGGCCAGTGGTTGAAAACAACAACAAAAAAACAAAACAAAACAAAAAACAAAACAAAACAAAACAAAAAAGTTTAAAATTTCTTTAAATCAACGCCTGTCACCTTGCTAAAATAATTTGTTCTTAAAATAATAAAAGAGAAATGTCTGGTGTTGATTTTCTCCTAATGAGAAAATCTCTCTCGATCATTTCTGTTAATTCCCCACCAACAAAAAAAAAAATAATTCGCTCAAAGATAAAAATAATTTATATTTACTAAAAATCACACCAAAATTCAGAAATGTCCTTTAAAATTTGCTCAAAAATGTTTTTGCCTTGTGTCTCTAAAGTAACTCACAGAAATAAGAAGAGTCTATCATGCTGCGATGAATCCTGAACATGGACTATTCTTCATTTTGGCATTCCGCCGGGTGCTTTCGATTGTTTGCCTGTGAGTTGATGTTTCTGGATCAACGAAATTCATACTGTGATTTACAGTCAGATGAATATAATTGGAATCATTCTTCAAAGATGTATATCGTTTTTAACAATCCGACATAATCGTAGTCCCAGGTAAAATGCATCTTCGAATTGTGTCGAGGCAGTTCTATACTCCAGCAACTTCATGGAAAACTAAACAAATTTTAATTTAAAGTTTGTAATTTCAAAAGAGTGCTAAAAATTTAATAAAAACACAAACAAAATATGATTTAAAATATATAATTTCTTGGAGTGAATTAATATTGGTGATAAATAACTTTACATTATTTAGGGTGAATTAACCGAAAAGATCCAGTCTCTTTTGATAATCTTGTCATGGAACGGTGAAAATCAAGGCGATTGAAACGTGTACAATGTAGATAAAAGTCGAAAGAAGAAAAGGAAGTAAAATAACGTTGATGTTGATAAAAAGAAATGGAAGCTGCGGGGCGACGAGGAAGAAGAAAATATTACAAAAAATGTACAAACGAAAGGAAATGATCCTGATGATGATAATGATAATGATATTTTACTGTATTTTTCATCATGTAAGACACTTTGTGTTCTTAAAAATAAAATAATGGTATAAATATTATACTGCCTGAAATTCACTTTTATATTTACGAAGTACAACCGAGTATTATGTAAATGAAAATAATGATAAACAGAGTTCAGTAAGATTATAATTCTCCAAAGTTTTCATTTAGATAGCCTGCTTCCCCTGAAAATGTGCATTTCGAATTGTAACTTTTATATTGGTATTAGTCTAAAATAAGTAATTATAATAATGACAGGAATTAAAAATTTGGTGCTTACTAAGCTTGTCTTTATTTGCCCAACTTGGAAGACACATTGAGGATAGAACTAGCGTACAAGACTCTAAAAACACTCTACGCTAGGCGCCGTAAATTCACTAGTTTTACGGGATATAAAGTTAAAGACCAAAGAATTAATCTTAGCAGAGTCAGGGTGAATTGCAGTGAGCAATATTTAAAATGGTTTTGTAAAGGATGCGTCTTATCGACTGCAAGATACGGAAATTGAAAAAGGAGAAAAAAGATCAAATTAGAATCGATCAAAGAAGACGGAAATGAGAGAAGTCATGGGAGAGAAAAGATTGATGAAAGATACGAGGTGAAAACAGATGAAAATTTGATCAAGACAACAGAGAGAGAGAGAGAGAGAGAGAGAGAGAGAGAGAGAGAGAGAGAGAGAGAGAGAGAAGAGAGAGAGAGAGAGGAAGAGAGTATGTGCGTGTATGTATTTGTGTGTGTTACAGTGAGGTAAAAGGAGAAAAATGAATATGTGAGGAAGAAGCGGAGATTTACAAAAAGTAAGTGGAGGGTCTGGGTGTGGACGGAAATTCGTCTAGTTGTACTTATGAAATGTTCTAAGTTGATGGCGTTAATTTCTCGGCTTTAGGGTGAATGAAAAACATGTAATATCGCTTTGTATGGATTTCCTTCTCCAAATGACAGCGATCTAAAATGTCTCCAAACAACGCTGGCAATATTCTACGTAATATCGACTATGATGATCGGATATAAACTGAGACATACAACCCCAACAAATCAGAGCACCTCTTGTGGCAGAGGTAGTTATATATTTCTAATAATAGCCAATAGCAGGTGTTCAATCATAGGTGAAAGCCTTTTTTATGCAAATTTTCAAGGAAAGCACTTCCGTTTCACTCCATATTGTGCAACAATCTTTCCGTCAGCTTTTTGTCAGTTTAAACTCAGCTTTATCCAAGTCAGATCTTTTTTCTAGGCATTGAACTTTAACATTGTCACCAAGGAAAGACAAGTGCACATGTACTCAACTGGTATCTTTCACCAATGAATTTGGATGCGATTTTAAATGCATCAATATTACGAAAGCATAAATCCAGACTTGGATTCACACACATGGACACACTTAGTGCGTCTTCCTACGCACATACGTTCGCATGCGTAGAGATTAAAAAAATTCTTACCTGCTATTTTTATTAGTTTGGATAAATAATCAGACTTCTAAGAATATGGTTCTATTGATTTTCCCTGATCCGAAAAATCTTTCTTTCTTTCTTTCTTTCTTTTATTGTATTTATTTTGTTTTTCTCTCTTGTTAGAATTTGTCAGTCATATTAAAGATTTCAACATAAATCCTGGTGCAATAATTGACCATGAGTAAATACTTCGAAGCTTATTGGCAAACTGACTGTAAATAGGTTGAGTACCAGTGTGCATTAAATTCGGGCCCATTTTTCAATAAAGTCTCAGTAAGTTGAGCTTGGGAACTTCCTCATACCAATATGTGTTATTATATATTTTTTGGAAATTCTTTTGAGGGGATGATGACGGAGTTTCAGGGATTTTTTGTTTATACTGACCATAAAGGTAGAAACTGAGAATTTCATAACGGTTCCACTAACTTTTCTTCAGCTTCTATTCATACATCCTATGAATATTTATACACACTATGAACGTTTATACACGCAATATATGTTGTATTCGGCATCCAGCTAACAACAATCAATACAACTCCTGGATCAGTAGATATTTGGAAAAAATCACAATTTCTCTTTCAAGAATATTAGATTGAGGCTCGAAACCATTCTTTTGTTTTACTTCTAAAAAAAACAAAAACAAAAGTAATTTTAAATTTAAGCAATTCACGTTTTAATTTTAAAATAATTGCAGTTTAAAAGTTAATATATTTATGTATGATTTAATAAATTTAAGTTTTTTTTTGTTTAGTTCCATTTCTTTTCTGGGTGATTTGAGTTAATTGTCACAATTCAAAGACATGAACCAGCGAAACGAGTAAAATTTTCCTTGTGTAATTGGCGTCATATTTATAATGATATCTTTAAGAACATATGAACCTAGTTTTTCCTGCTATCTGTTCTATCACAAGTAATACTGAACAGGACCTAATTACTAATACAAATCCTATGAATAAACATCTTTCAAACATGTAAATTAACATTTGTACTCCAAATCCCAGCAACTATTGCGTCATGCCAGATAATTCTTCTAATCAGAAACCCTCTTGCATATTTATAAATCTACCATTCGTCCGTGCATTGAATATTGCTGCCATATCTAGTCTGGTGCCCCTAATACTTATCTTTAGATCCTTAACAAAATCCAAAGAACGGTCTGTAATGTAATTGATTCTGAACTGACATCTCGTCTTCAGTCACTTTCCCACCGACATGACGGGGTTTCCCTGTCTTTTCCAAAAGTATTTTCATAGCAATTGTTCTGATGAACATTTCTCTTTAGTTCCTCGTCTGCTTGGATTTAAGTGTGCTACTAGATTGACAATTGGGTTACACTGTTTTACTGTTGAATATGCTAGATGCAACCAATAGTTTTATTCTAATAATTTCTTTTCTTGAACTTCTCGACTGTGGAAATCCGGCTCCGATTTCTTGCTTCCCTGTCACCTAAAATCTTCAAAAATTGAAATGAAACGCCAAACACCATATTTATTCCTGGATCCTCTTCCTTCATTGTCCTTTTCCTCACTTCTTGTCACTTACGGTCTTCGCAATCTCTTTCAATACCTCTAACCCCCCACCGCGTCCTTGTGCCATTGCTTGGTATGAAACGATTAATAAAACTGCCCATTAATATATCTCTAGAAATGTACAGGAAACCTTTAGGTTAACATTCATGGCAGTCGATCCCATCGATTCCATCCTGTGATTTTTGATTCCGATTTCTTTTCGATCGATGGTGGAGAAAACGTTACATCGAACTCCAAACCAAAGAAGCAGCATTCATTGTCCAGATAGATATATAGGAGGAAATATCAGTTGATTTGAATAAAATCGAACAATCGGAAATTGTTTAGAAATACTTCTTCGGGAGGATTTTTCTTTGGGAAGTATCATCTTGATAAATCCCTATCCTGGCATTAGTCTTAACAGACAGTTGCATAAGTATTAAAAACTGGATGGAGGACTATCGTTATTCAAAAATCCTCTTATTCAGAGAACAATTATCTGAACCAAAAAAAGCAGGGCCACCAATTGCGAGTTATGTAAAGGTACTTTGAAAATGAACCCCCTCATCTCTTGTGAATTGAGCCACCATCACAGCACAAGATCCAGCAGGCAACTTTATTAGCCGAAGCAAGCCTCTCAACAAAAAACGGAAGAGTTACCTTCCGAGTAGGTCGGAACCTTGGTTGGTTGACACATTCTCTCATGCAGTGTTTTCAGAAATTAGTGCCTCTCTTGTATGGGTCTCACTGATACCATGAAAGCCTGTAAACGTGAAATACCCTTTCAAATTGTAGTTTGCAAAAAAAGACTATCATTGTATTTCTCCTCTACGTGTAAATACAGAGAGCTACAAATTCTTAATGCTCTTAAATAGAATCCGGTGATTATTCCGGATTTTATCTGATGTTATGAAGAGAGTAGAATTCTATAAATTTTAGGCTATTGTTAACACGGGGTAACATGTGTAACACGGTGTAACATGATATCCAAGAAAGATAAAGTATTATTTGTTTCCATGGATCAGATTCAAGAAATTCTTAGAAAATGCATGCAAACACCCTATTTAGCGGCGACCCCATTGCTAATCCAATTTTTTATAAAAATTCTTGTTGAAATAGCATTGATTGGCGATGAGACGGCAGATTTTTTATTATTTTAGCTATTGACAAGGAGAGGATTATCTTTGATTGTGTTAGATGCTTTTTTAAAAGATTAAATCATTTATTAACAGGGATGTTGGTTTAAACGGTTTCATTAAGTGGTCTTAAATTCTGTATGTATACTTATTAGACCCAGGGAAATTTTAATGTTAAAATCTTACACATTGAGGAAGGTATGTCTGTACAATGTGTTGTACTTTTTCCGTTTTCGGAATTAAATAAGTAAATTTAATAATAATGATCAACAAGAAATAATTAATGAATAAATGCAAAAGACCCTAAATAATCAATAATAAATAATAAGTTAAAAGTTAATACGAAGCAAATAACACTATACAATACTTACAAATAACAGCATTCTGATCAACAATTATTTCTACTCAATTATCTTAAGAATAAATAGAAATATAACCGTTGCCGCCAACCCAATAATTGTTAGGAATATACAATAAACCAGGAATACCTGATGTTGCTATCCATAATGCCTCCTTAACCAGCATATATAAATAGCCAAATCGCCGAACAACACACATGACCTGAAGATTACTCTCAAGCATGACACAGACTGTCGTCATTCGATGCTGAACTCAATGTACACTTTTATATTACATAAAAAAAGAAAGAACAGAGAACATGTACGTCAGCCGAAGACAATCGTCTAGCATCCAAGTTCAGAGTCCAAAGAAAAAAACCCGATACGAGTAAGTAAAATAACTAAGTAAAGTCCTTAATTATATATATATATATATATATATATATATATATATATATATATATATATATATATATATATATATATATATATGAGTGTGAAGAAATATAGTTTTAAGGTGTGCAATATTCATAGGATAAAGGGCTCACTATCAGAGATAAAGAGTATGCAAATATGAAAGTGAACTGTCTGTCGCCTATGAGTGTTGACTTTAATGTTCGCATATATATATATATATATATATATATATATATATATATATATATATATATATATATATATATATTAGTTGATACTTGTTGGAGAATCAAGCTGTACTTCTCTCGATCGAGTGCATGAATTGGCTTTTTTTTTTTTTTTTAATTATCTGAAGGCCTGAATCGAAAATCAATATTAAACCAGCAATGCTTATATGAAAATGAATGGCTTAAGCAACAACATTACTTTTAAGCAGTGAGTCAAAAGATTTTTGCTTTTTTTCAGTAGACAAGAAGACAGAATTTGACTGGGTTAAACTTTCGCATTTTATTAGCAACATTTAGCATTTAGCATTTTATTAGCAACATTTAGCATTTTATTAGCAACATTTGTTTCTATATTCATAGATTTTATAAGATTTATAATTTTTGTTATATTTCTTGATGGTGGTTGTCCATTGTTTTTTTTAGACAAGAGCAATACGCTCTTCAATTAAAAGAAAATATGATAGGAGATTTTTTTTCAAAATCAACCAATTAGAATCATCAATTGAATGTTCATTTCTGAAGTCAACGCTTGTATAGCAAATATCTAGATAGACTCTTCACTAAATAGGATGATGTTATACAATCTTACATTTCGCATTAAAAGTCCTTGTAGAATCTATCTATCTATCTATCTATCTATCTATCTATCTATCTATCTATCATTTCTTCCTGATCACTCCATGTTTCTCCCTGATCACTCCATGTTTCTCCCAACAATAATAATTCAGTTGCACTTTAATATTTATCAGGCGACCAATTTTTTTCCGACACCAAAGAAATAAGTGCAGTTATATTTCATTGGTCAATCAGTGCCGCTTCATCGTCCATTTGTCTCTTTAACCAATCAACTCGTTCACCTTTTGTTTTGCATGAAAAAATACGTTTTTTGTTTTGTCATTAGTGGCGCATTATTGATGCGTGTGTGTAGCCTAGCATTTATCGGTGTATTAAGTTGGATTGGCAAGTTGAACTCAAATTTCAACCATGGTGGCTTACGCGCTCACTTTTGTAGACATATTGAGAAAAGTGTGACTGCATCTCTAGTTTCTTCTGATATGGGTTAAATGGCAAGGCATGCGCGGATATATACCGTTGGTTGGCATCCAGTCTAAGAAAAGGAAAACTTATTGACTTTGAAATTTAATGATTTTAGAATTTTTTAGAAGTTTCCAATAACTGATTGTAATATCAGATAAGATTTTATGATTTCCATTAATTTGATGAGTAGATATTTTCTTTCTTTTCGTTTTTGTAGAACAACTTTTGAATAAAGAGATTAAAGAAATACTGTTGTGTGGATTATCTCAATGCACAATTATAACAAACGACAGATTATTTATGTAGGTAACGAAGTACTTATCTATAAACAGCTGTAAAGGGAGGGATTATATATATATATATATATATATATATATATATATATATATATTTGTGTGTGGGGGGGGATATGAGGAATCAAACAAACTCCGCCGCATTGCGGATATACACATTCAAGGGAAAGGATTTAAGAGTCATCCTCGAGGAAAAATCAGGCAGTTCGTCCTGTATTCAGCAAAAGCGTCCCGAGACTGACGGATGTTTAGGATGGTATTTGCGCAGTGTAAGTTTTAAAAATATACTTTTATTTTTTGTTTATTTTGCCATACAATAAACCTCTTTTGCGATTTTCTTTGTTAGGAAAATTGTATGTAAGAAATCTACTGCAAAAATATTTTAATGATCTCCACATATTTTCATATGTTCTGTTTTTAAGTGTGCCTTGCTTGTGCATGCGCACAATTCAAGACAGCCTATGAAAGAATATTTCATGTCAATACCGTTCGTTAGTTGTCATAAAAAACATTAAAAGGAATCAATGAAAAGATTATCTGGCTCACCATAGTGTGATCTCAAATTCCTTGTGTGTTTGGGTGTTTTCTCTTCTAATTCACGAGAAATGACCCACGTAAGTCGAAATCTATTCATCACAAATAACTACAAAGAAGACAAAATGGCTCGTAACAGAAAGACGAATCTGTAATGTTATCGGTCATAACAGCATCTCAGATTCAGTCTCCTTTCCACCGTTGTAACGTAGCCACCCTGTTCCGTTTCTCTCAGTATTTTCATGGTAAGTCTTTTGAGGATATTTCCTCCAACTTGACGAATTTAAGCGCAGTACTAGATTGGCAGCTCGGTCTCATCATTTTATTTTTGAAATTGCTAGATATAATTTCTAATTTAAAGCTATAGTAGTAGTTTTTTCTCTCGCACTACTCATTTCTGGAATTCTCTTTTGGATTCTTGCTTTCCTGTCAAACATGATCTTCAAACATTTACATGCAACGTCAATCATCATTTTCTATTTCCCTGAATCCTGGTCTTTTGTTGTCCTCTCTCCTCAATAATGTTTTTCTCAGATTCGTTCACTCTCAGTAAGCCTTTATATCTTGCCGGCTTTATTGTTTTGCTTCAGGTGAAATAATTAAAAAGAAATGATAAATCTTGAGATTGGCATGTGTATTTAAAAAAGAACTATTTTCTTTCTCTTATTGGTACCACTTATTCTTTCGTTCTTTCGTTCTTTCTTGCGTTCTTTCTTTCGTTCTTTCTTTTGTATTTTTGATAACCGCCACTCGCATTTATCCCCTAGAAATCTGGAAGTGTGTCAAAATTCAAGGAATATCATTTTATTTGCTTGCACTCACACTCTCAATACAGTTAAGACTGATTAAGCAAGAGAAAAGAAATAAAGAAAATGGTTGCGAGGGACGAACTCATTTTTTGTTTTATTTTCAAATATCACTCGTGAATTCATGTTGGCTTCCTTCCAAAGGCGAAACCAAAAGAAACATAAACAGAGAAAATCGATATAAACAAGAACATGGGCTTTTTTTTTCATGATTCTCCGCCTTCTTTTTTGATTCTCGTTTTCCCCTCTTCATCCTTTTCTTTTTTAATTACTGTAATCTTTTCATTTCATATTCCCTTCTCATCTCTCTAAATTTTACTTTCTCTTCTTCAGCTTGTTGTCCTAGTTTACTTCACACAACTTCCGCTCATATTAAATATTTTCCTTTTCACTTTCTGTTCATAATTCAGCCAATTTATTTTCTTGACATGTAAGCAAATATCTATTGAACTCAATTTGAAACGCTCCCCATCAAGAATCGAACTCAGTACTGTCATAGTGGCCTAAGAGATGAGATTTCTAACAATTTCTCTATAATAGGCGTCCAAGTTGATTATATTTAGATTAGCCAAAAGACAGAGGTAAGCTAAGCGTTTTTATTCAGGGGGAATTGCAAAAGTTTCTCTTAATCATCACCCACGCAAAAACAGTTCGAGGACAATTTCCTATTGCAAGAGATTGACTTTACTATATAGAACAGGGTGGATCAGATTTTGCTGTAGTTACCATCTATTATTAAGAAAGAAATAGAAATATTGAGTCGGGAGGATTCACTGAGTGTTCCGTGTGTGTGCGTGCGTGCTCACGTGTGTGTTTTGTGGATGACTTTTAAAGATGAGAAATTTTTCTATATCTGGCGTTTGCTTAGAAATCAAACGGCTACGCTCTACACACCACACGCGCGTAAATACATACATACACATGCCCATATGTGCGTATGTGTGCACGCACATACACATATGTATGTATGTATATATATATATATATATATATATATGTGTGTGTGTGTGCATGTGTGTGTGTAAGGTATATTTAGGCAAGTATTACTCCAAACAAATTTGGAAAAATTAAAACACGGTCTGTTTATTTTTTATTGTATTTTCAAATTTTTAGAAAACGCTATATTTGGGTTCACGTTTGTTTTGTTGTTTTTGATTTTGACAATTTTTTGTTACACTCGTATATATATATATATATATATATATATATATATATATATATATATATATATATATATATATATATATATTGTAACTAGAGATGTGACCTGATGAACAAGGAAAAATACATTTTCTGGGGAAATAAATTATAGTCATGAAACCTTAAGGTTGTCTCTTTAATAATTATTTAATAAATATTTGCTCTGGTGTTACAGTGAGCTCTCTGAATACACCCTCTTTGGAATTATGCACACAGATTACCAAACACGCCATTGCCTTACTATATATATATATATATATATATATATATATATATATATATATATATATATAGGTGTATCAAAAAATACATTTGCATACTTTGGGGGCATGTTCCTGACGCTAAAACAAAGTAAAATGACCATATATGTCCAAAAGGCTACCTCAACAGAACAACTCATAAAAATATTCATAATGTCCTCTGCTTGCTTCTACACACACATACACTCGTCGGATCATTGACTGATAGGCCCTTTCAAATACTCCCACATGGTGTCGAATAACTTCGCAGGCTCCCATGAAACATTGATGAAGCGTCTCTGCATTAGTAATGTTCACTGCATAAACCAATTGTTTTAGCTGACCACTAAGATAAAAATCCAAAGGATTGAGGTCAGAGAAACGTTCAGGCCAACCGGTTTTTCCCTATCTATCTAGCTTTCATGGTAAATGTCAGTTAATGTAAGTAAAATGTGCTGGAGCCCCATCATGCATGGATCACATGCATCTTCGCTTTAGCAGGGGTACATCCTCTAGCAGATATGGATATGTATTCGAAATAAAGTCACTGTAGACAGACGTGCTGAGAAAACATGAACCTACCAGGCAGTCGCATACAATCCCAGCCCACACATTAATCCTAAACTGATGCTGGTGTCTAGCTTGTATTATACCATAAAGGATTCCGATCTGCCCACATATGTTGGTTGTGTACATTTGTTATTCCATCTCTTCAAAATGTTGCCTCATCCATAAACAAGACTTAAGAGACAACGGATTGGCAGTGTGTGCAATAAACCATCGGCAAAAGTTCTCCCGTGGTGAGTGATCAGAGGGTGACAGACACTTCACACGTTGCAAATGATACTGACACAGGAGCTGCTCTTGGAGTACTCTCCATGTGGTACTATGAGATGTACGACATGCTAGAGCCACTTGACGTGTGCTGATACCTGGATCGTCTCCGACAGCCTGTAGAATATCTTCTTCGTGGTCAGGCGTACGAGCGGATCTTGATCTTCTCCGATCCATAGTTTCTGGTGCCATGGACCCTGCCCCAGCAACGCGACGATAAACAGATTGTAAGGCTCGTATGCCGTCAGTCTGTAAACGCGTGTAGCCGCGTGTTCATTACCATACGCGCGGCCGTATGTAAAAATCTGCCTGCTCACGATATGGATATCCTGTCATTGTTAAACGGACCACTTCTTAATTAACTCACTACTACACAAGTTAAACGTTTAAGACAGACTAGCCACGAATGTACACGAATGATAAATGTAACCTAGTCTACATGGAAACAGCACCATCTACCATAATCTTTCCTTAAACTTAACTCAAAAACGAAGGATTTGCGGATATATGTTTATATGAACTTTTGTCTTTGTTTTGGCGTGAGGAATCCCCTCCCAATCTGTGTAAAATTATTTTTGATATACCCTGTATATGAAATATTGTTTCCAGTACTATTGTCCAAGGGAAATGTAATCTTGTTTCATTAAAGTGGATGTCTGTCATAGAAACGACCGTGATCATGTCGCATTGATTATCGCGTGTTTAATGAAATTAATTCTCACTGGTTTAGCTATTATACCGTGGGTGTCAAACTTAACTAAGCTTTGTATATCTCTTTAGATGTGTGAAACGTGTGAAAGTTAGGATGAAAATTTTTGAATATGGTATTAATAATAAAATTTGTCATTGTCTGCTCCATGTGTGATAAATTTTCTTGAAGGAGTCAATCTTTGTCTGGCTAAGGAATCTGCGCACATTCGTATAGATATTCGGAAACATTGTAAGACCGAGCTTTACCAATATTTCAAATCAATGTGACCTTCTCGTTTGACTGCATAACTTGAACATCAGCTTTCAATATTCTAGATTTTCCTCGTTTTAATTGAGAGACAACATACAACGATCTTATTTATCAAAAAGATTTAATCCCACCAGTTGCAATAACTTTTTACTCCCCTTCTTTCTGAATAACTACGATTGATCCTGTATTGATGATACAACTTTTCAGTTTTCTCTTAGTTTTTATTCTCTATCATTTTAATCCCTAGCACGAAGTAAAAAAAAAAAAAAAACGTGTGTAAGTTACAATCAAGGACAAGAATAATTGACTTTGACGCCATAATTTAATTCTTGCAAAAATAAGGCATATTAGTTTTTGGTATCAAGCAAAGGAGACACTTTATTTAGAACATGAAGAAGAAAAACCTAGTCGAAAAATTTGTCGACTTTGAAGACAGTGGAAAGTGTCAGACGTGATGTTAGCAGTGGAAGTGATGGTAAAGCAGACAGAAGTTCAGGGTTTTACAAGGAAGGGACGTGCTGCACTTGGTTTAGTTGAGAGGGAGAGATTCTGGTCAGAGGCCAGTAGACAGGAGCGGTGCAAGTTACAGGAACAGGAGGTTCGGGAGCTCGAAGAGGAGAGACGTTTAGTGTGGACTGTCCAGCAGGCTCAGTATGGTCGATAGCTCAACTGGGAGGGTATTGAGGGTGTTCAGATCAGTTATTCTGATTGATAGCGTCTCAGCGCAGGACATTTGAGGTTCCTCATACAGGAAGCATATGATGTGGCAGCATCACCGGCAAATTTGAAGAGATGGGGAGTGCATGAATCCTCCCCCTGCCGGTTCTGTGGTGCTTATGGAAACCTGCGCCACATACTGTTGTCCTGCCAGAAGGTGCTACAGAACGACTGGTACCCCTTCAGACATAATTTGTTTCTGGAGGTCGTGACAACCGCTGCGAGAAGTGCTAGTATACACTCGACGGTCCTGCGAAGGATTGCCTTCCTGAAGGCAGAAGACCAGGTCGGAGGAATCGAGGAGGTGAAAAGTGTTGATTGATGCTACACTGCCAGTGGAGGTAATTGTGTCTGGACTGAGACTTGATCTAGTGTTAATTGATATCGAGAAGAAACATCTGTTGCTTGGCGAGCTGACAGTGGCATGGGAAGAAGGAATTGAATAGACTCATGAAAGAAAGGTGCTTCGGAACTGATGGCTGAAGTCCGTGAGAGAGGATACAACTGCACCCTGGGGCCGTTTGAGTGTGCTGGTATCCAAAAGCCGAATAAGGTGATAAAGACTTGTGGTGAAAAAGCGGTGGAAAGCAGTAAATGGATTACCCAGAAATTCTTATCGAGTCGCATCCAACTAACATAAACCGGTTGCAACGTAACATCATTCAGCTGTTGCGGGCCCACTGTGTGGAGAGGTATTGAGCTTAATGGACCGAAACTTTGATGAAGTATAGCGCTCAGCTGAAGATTGTAGCTGCATTGGAGCACTTGATGTGTACATGTATATATATATATGTTTCATCGTTCCCCCAAGCAAGATGGCAATGCCAAAAGGACACAGACGGTTACGGGGAGTGAAATAGTGTGTGAAGACTTTAATGAGGTGAAGTGGGGAAAAGGGAAAAATAAAGGAACAGGGTTAAGGAAGACAGAAGAGTGGGATTGGGATTGTATTTAAATTTTTGAATATTGAAGGTGTGGCTGGGAAAGCAAGATGGAGGAAAAGTTGAAGTGACTGAAATCGATGACATTACAGACCCTCCTTTGGATTTTGTCAAGAATCTCGAGAGGAACACCAAACCAGATATTGCAGCAATATTTAATGTACGTACGAATGGTAGATATATAAATGTGCAAGAGGGACTCTGATGCAAAGAATTGTCTGGAACGACACAGCGAACCAACTTTTCTAGCAGACATCCGACCAATTTATTCAATATAATCACTCCACTTCATGTCAGTGGAAAGCTTGCGTCAAAGAACATATATACATACATATTCAAACATGATTCATTGAACAATATAAACATATTGTATCTACATATTTTTATAATGGTCTTTTCCAGTTGTCTAATCAGTTTCTAGGATGATGATCTTGGAAAAGATCGAAAGTACTTGTGTAATAAAAACTACGGTGCCTTCATTGATGAATTTCAACTTAGCATCAAGAAACTGATTAGACAATTGGAAATGATCACTATGAAAATAAGTAGACTTCATAGGTCTCTATTATTCAATGAAACATATTTGAATGAACATATGTTCTTAAACACACACACACACACACATATATATATATATATATATATATATATATATATATATATATATATATATATATATATGTGTGTGTGTGTGTGTATATTGTATGCTATATAAAATGTTGTAAAAGTAATTTCAAACATAAGAACTTGAATCCCAAATGTAATTCGGTGAAACCGTATGAGAATATAAATTTGTCAATGGATAAATATTGATTGACTTCAGATTAGCTCCCCTTATCTTTTAGTAATTAAACCTAAAGAATAAAACAAGGTATCGCCCGATACTTTACCTCTAAGCTACAATAGCGAGTATTTATACAATGCGCTCAACAGTTATTTTATAGTAGTGTTAATAGTTTCGAAGTTTGCTTCAGTTGTCAGACAAGGATGAATGTTAGTCAGGCGGTTTTCACTAGGGCCCTATTGATTTCCCCCGAAACTCAACTGAAAGTAATAAAATGTCTTATAGTATTAGTAATTATTAACTAAGCTTAGGTTAGTCTAGAACAAGACTACAGTATTGGGGCAACACTTACGATCGAAGTCACCATTGTTTGCAACGAACAGATTGCTGGGAAACACTCTATAGAAGTCAATTGAATTTTGCTAAAATCTTAGTAAAACGTTTTTTTGAAGTTGAAACTACGAAACTATATTGCGACAAAGTGTAACAAATCCACTTCTCCTCCACAGCAAATGTAATGAATGCAATCATAATAAAACAGTGCCCACGTTATTCCAACATTAGTTATTAATGTAAACAAGTTTGCATTGGTTAATATGAGGCTGAAATGACTCACAATTTTATAAGAGCAACTTGTCGTATCAAGATTTCCAGTGATTTGATTTCACGCTATTTGCAATCGTCTGACGATCGCAAATAGCGTGAGACATAGGATCACAAACTCACATCAATCCAACTAAATATGTTAGTTCTATCACTGATATTGAGCGCTTTCCAATAAGTACCGCGCATATATAATATATAAATAATTTATATATAAAAATTGCGTATATAATTTTTATACATACACATTTCATATATATATATATATATATATATATATATATATATATATATATATATATATATATATATATATATATAAAAAACTTTTGTCATAGGAGTATATTTCTCAGTTAAATCCTGTTTTTGAGTTTAGCTCAGTATTTAGTACCAGACGTACACGCCTGTACTACTCTTTTCTTATTTTTCCTTCATTTGGGGGTGTTGTATGCCATCTCCTTCGCTAATTCCTAAGTACTTATAAGCTTCATCATGCTCCAGTTCCCTAATCTTTGTGACAAAATCTAAATCTATTAAGGGTGTTTCTGTAATTCTACCCTTCTTGAAAGTTACTTTTGCACATTTATCTAATCCGAAGTCCATACCTATATCGTCACTGAAGTATTTTACAATATTGAGGAGGTCTTTCAACTCATTGTCGTCTTTGGCAAAGAGTTTGAGATCATCCATGTAGAGTAGGTGATTGAATATTTTCTTATTTATTTTGTAACCATAGCTACTGTTGTTCAGTTCATGTGTAAGAGGGATTAAGGATAAACAAAACAGAAGGGGTGACAGAGAGTCTCCTTGAAAGATTCCACGTCGGATATTCAGACGGTTGGATATGGTAGTGCCCCCAGTGTGACTAAGGTATAGTTTGGTGTTCCAAATTCCCATGCTGTGCTTAAAGAAATTTAATACCACAGGGTAGACTTTGTACATTTCCAAAGTCTTAAGGATCCAAGAATGTGGAACACTATCAAAGGCTTTACGATAATCAATCCACGCTGCACTTAGATTTCTGCGTCGTCTCCTGCAATTTTCCAGGATCATTTTATTTATCAGAAGTTGATCTTTGCAGCCATATGAACCTCTTCTGCATCCCTTCTGTTCCAGCGGGAGAATGCTGTTTGTTTTGAAAAAGGAATAAGACGGTTCGTCAGTACAGATGTGATCAACATCAAATTATTATTATTATTATTATTATTATATTCGTTAATTTATCATTATGGGATTATTGTATATGTTTACGTATGCATGAGGAGTTGCATACACTTTTTCTTTGCTCAACTTTCCAAAATCTAACCAAAGAGCGAAACATCAGAATTTGTAGAGAATAAGTTCTTGGTTTAGCAGAGGTTTTCAGCTCGTCCTTGTTTTATATAAAGGGTCTCTGAACCGCTGTAATCTGGGAAAGATTTTTGCTATTTCCTTCGTCATACTGATCGACATCACTGGAAAGACATAATGAAATAAACATGGTTTACGTTCCACTGATAAACGTGACCTCATTGCTAACGATAAATCATAATTATGTACGTTAGTATAATGCTCCAAAATATCATGTTTGTTTACGGTATTTGGGATATCACTTAAAATGTTGAAACAATAGAACGATTAATTAGTAAATATCTAAAAGTGGTTATGAGTACCTAAATCTTTAGAAAGTGACAGTTATTGTTGAAGTGATATTAGATGTGTTTGTTATGTATTTCTAGCAGACTGGTGAACATTTCATCGTTTTGCTATTTTAATTTTTTTATTAATTAAAGTATTCAAGTTAAGGTTTGAATAATCTCACTGTGAGTTTCACGACTATAAAATACTCGTGAAACCCCCCCTCTTGGATCCTTTAATATTTCAATTTAACAACTTCAACAAAATATTGCAATAACAATCATAAGTATGAATGTAGGTCATTATTTAAAGAAGTAAGGGGGCACAAATGAAAAATGCTGAAATTAACCAGTTTTATCCCTTACACTAAAACGGACATTAAACAAATGAGAGTGTTATCGTTTTCTCTATCTTCTCTTTCTTTCTTTCTTTTTTTTCTTGCTGAAACCGAACAGCGTTTCTGATATGTCTTTTCTGTTATTCCGCAAGATTATATCGGAATAGTCCATTTTTATGAGGCATTAGAAGGGTGCAACGCACGTATTAATTAAAGAACGAAGGAACAAGCAAAATTATAATGAGATTATTGTCGATCTTAGGTATTTGTAAAGTAAAGACATTTTCACTAAAATGTGAGACCTGTCGATAAGTAGCAAAACCCCAAACGGCCATGAGAATACCAAATGCCCATATAGCTTTTATACACAACTTACTGGGCATTCGCATTTACCGATTTTGATTATTACTGAGTAAGTGAGCAGCACAACAACAAAGTGATGCTAGGGTATAAACATACAACATATAAAATACCGACCATGACATCAAGTCTGATAAGTCTCATGCATCACAGCCTAATGTATAGCACAATATGGTGACAGGTTTTGATAAATGCAGTACCTGACCTTAAAGGTGAGGTCCAGTTAGAAATAACTTGTTAACAGAGTTTGCTCACTTGGGTTCTGATTGAGGGTGTTCGCAAATATTTAGACATGACCCACAAACTAAAAAAAGAACCACATCCACGAATCCCAGTCACACTCCCGCTTATGAAAAGTGATGCACAGTGCGCCAACCCCTAGGGAACATACCAAACTCGTTATGGTCAGGCAACTATGCAAATATGTGGTACTGAACGGAATAATTATTGGCGTCCATCTTAATTCAACACGACAAAATATGTACATGTTAACACTTCCACACTTCCAATCAATTATCGTTGTTATTATTAGTAGTATCAGTAATCCGTAGTAGTAGTAGTAGTAGTAGTAGGAAGAAGAGGTAAAGGAGGAGGAACAAGAGGGGTAGTTCAACTGGTACCAAATACTTTCAGTTGATATTTATGAAACGCAGAGCTAAAACGGAAGGAAATTCATTACCCTAGTGACTAGTGTGTGTGGTTTGCTTGCCAACAATTGCTCTCTAACAATCAAATGTAAATATGATAATGCGACATCCAGTGATAATTGAATTCACCACACTCACTGTATGCGTATGTGTCCGTCATGGGAATAAAAACAACTGTAATGGAATCACATACGACATCAAAGCCTCTTCCTTGATTTGAAACCTATTCATCTGTAAAAAGAAACTCCATGTTTACCCGATGAGCCATGATAATTCTTGGTAGTAGTTGATTTTTTCCCATTTGGTTGCAGCAGAGGAACTTTCACCAACCAAAACAGTGACCCAGTGTGTGACTAATCGATATAAATACAAAACTCTGACTCCATTACGGTTCATTTCCATGCAACATTTCTGGCATCTCCACCATCCAATGCTTTTACAATTTTACAGCTTCCATTTTTCATCTTTATACTTATCTCTTCTTCTCTTCCTTATCCTCTAGATTCAATTGACATCACTTCCTCCTTCTACTCCTACTCTCCTTTCACCTCCAAATTCAGCTGACATTTCCGCCTTCTTCTTCCTCCATTTCCTCTCCTTTTGCCACCAACTTCCTCCTTCAACTCTCCATTAACATCCAAATTCAGCCGACACCTCCTCCTCTTCATATTCAGCTCCTCCCACTTCCCCCTTATTCATTCTCCAAATTCAACTCAGTACTTTCAATCATTTTTCTTTATTTCTCTTAATAATAATATTCCTCCTTCTCTTTCCGTGTCCCTTTGCGGCATGGGTCTTTACTTGCTTATTTCCCATCTCTCAACGAATCTCTAAATATCTCTATTCAAGAATGTGCTTAGTGGTTACGTCGATGTCAGCAGGTGGCGCGAACATAACACTTTTCCTTATGCGCTGGAATCTGGATACGGCTTAAGTCCTTAAACGTTCAATTCTAAAAAGACTAAATAGTTCTAAGGTTTGGACAACGACCCCATACCTTGACGTTAAAAAGAAAGAAGCTATCACGAACAAAATCTCATTCACACCTATGATTAATACAGGTCTCGAAAATGTCTTCAATTTCTTTCCTTTGATGATAAAAAAGACATTCACATGTTGGAAGTTTTCTTTCGCTTACCAATTGCAAATCCACAATGTTTGGTTCGCTTCTAAATTGACGCCCCTAGACTCATATACACTGAAATTAAAAAGAGAAATCTGTCAGCTTTTGTACAATACAAGGTTACATTTATAGTGTAATGCATATAAGAACATACAGTACATAATATACAACAGAATTTTGCTTCTTTTATGAGCGCTGATCGCCCACGTCCTTTTAAGAGATGTGCAATCAGGACACTCCACAATTTCTAGTCTTTTGTGACCTTTACCATTCTTCGTTGACCTTTTTTTAGCCATTCATTCACTTAGAATCATAATGTAGGTTACTTCTTGTTTCTCCTGCCTTCAATATTCCTTGTAAGGATTCAATCCTCTAGGCTCTCATTCCTTGTTGTGGCTCCCTAAAATTTAAACTGTGTCTTTCTGATTGTATGTATCATTTTCTTCGTAGTTCCTAAATTCCTTAAACTTCCTCGTTGTTCAAATGTTCAGTTATTGCTATCGTTGTAAAAATCGTCATCTGTGACAAAATTGTTCAGTATTCACTGGCATATAAAAGTGATATAATGGAATATGCATACACCTGTGTTCCCCCTCACTGGAATATGATTGGCTGGTGTCTGTCATAAATACAGACGGACGTGTAGGTACGACAGAGTTTAAGTCTATGACGACGCCCATTGGACTACGCCATTGGCTATTCTATTGGTCTACACCTATTACCTGCGACTACGACGAGTACCAGTCGATTACTTCTACCGTGTACTACTTGGTTACAGTAGCCAAACCCACTTAGCTACTTCGATCAATATATCCCTTTCTGGGACATAACAAAAAGCTTAGTACTTAGCAGTTCAACGTCTTTTTCTTTGTTCCTACGGAGATTTTACTGTCAATTAACACTTGGTTTTTCTAACGAATCCTTCGCTATTCCTATAAACATTCGGATTTATGTGTAACACACTCCGTCAACTGTTACGATAACGCCAAGATAGTTACGTTTTTGTAACTGCTTGATATTTACGTTCACAATACGTAGCCCAATTTTTAGAGTGTCTACCGCTCACCAATCATTGCACTAAGTAAACAGAATTTAGAGCTTCTACTTCTGATTTGAATATTCTGCCTTTAAAATAATGCCCTTGGTATAAAATCAAATAGCAACACATAGAATCAGCTTCAAACTCAGTAACTTTTTATCCAACGAATATGTGCAGAAGAAATAAGATTTTCAGAAAGAGAGTAGAAATAGATATTTTCCTTATCATGCACATGATTAAATATATTGATTGCAAGGAATGTAAAAAAACTGTGTGTTATTTCAATGAGAGACTATCTAAACTAAAATTTAAGGTTTCGAAATACCACTGATTACCAAGACTCAAGCAAGAGTTTCAAATGCCAGATGCAAACACATTACCATATTAACCCTTGACCTATCCGCAGAATATGAATGGGAGATAGGATTCAATTATTTACATTATTTACACAATTTATATTCGGAATCAACGTTTCGGCCGTTGTGCCCTCCGGACTTCTTCAGGTGTATGTCGATCTAGGTAACGTACAAGCAATTTATTTAATCTGGATCCTTTATTTAATCTACGGAGTTAAACTGTTCTCGTTCCACTGCTCATGTCTAGTGATATCGCCTAGTTCTTATTTTTATTTAGTATTGCTCTGTTACCCACCATCCAATCATGATGAAGAAAGGGATCATTCGATGCGTGATGACCCAAACATATACCAACAAGAAATGATCAAATCAAACGCACCCTTAAGAATAAAAATTACCTGGAAAAAAATAACATCAGCGTCTACAGGTGTGAATAGAAGGGGTAAAGAGGTTGACAAGAAAATAGCCGCATTCTGTCTCCTTCAAGTCAAGGGCTTATCAGAAAAGTGTCAGAAGATCTGCAGTCCATACAGAATCAGGATAATATCTAGAAACAGTTCCACTCGACGGAGAAATGTCCGCCGAGTAAAGCCTAATACGAGTGAGATCATGGCCAACAATTGCGTATACTCGATTCCTTGCAGTTTTGAAAGAGAATATATGGGTGAAACAAACCACTCACTAAAAGTAAAATTGAGGCCTTAGTGAGTGGAATCGGGCATGGCAATGATTTGCCATACCCGATTATGGAGAGAAAGGCATACTCATGCAGAATGGAATGAAAACACAGTAGAGTTAGACGTCTGAAAGAATCAGCGCATATGCGAAGCTATGAGGAGCTCATTAGTAGGCCTAGCATAGAAATAAATACAATATAAAAACCGCTAATAAACAAAGACAAATAGCAGTAAGTCTTAAACAGTAGCAGCAATCAAAATATGGGAAGCAGTAGCAACTCTAAGTACAGCAAATAGTCTAATGGATTAAAGCGTTGGTTTGAGAATTTGGTGACATAATTATTGTGAGTTCAATCCTTGGGTCAGGCAGTGTGTACTTGCACTCAGTACTAAATAAACATAAGAACAAGACCATATCCTGAAAGATCAACAGTGGAATGAGAACAGTCTAGCCATGTAGATTAAATAAAGGGTTCATTTCAGAATTTCCTGTAGGAAATCCGGAGAAAAACAAAGATGAGTACAATAGTCCAAATATAGATAGTCTAAATAATGATAACTCCTCATCCCAGAAATTCAGACAGAAAGGATTCAACTAGCTTATCTGAATCCAAAATGACATTTATGCTTTTTCGTTTATAAGACGCACGATAAATTGGATTCATTTAAATGTAATTTATCCATGGAAAATAACTTGACAGAGCATTTTTAAGTAATCAATATTGAAACTAGTCATTAAATATGATCATATTTCGATGCTTTTTTTGCATCAGGTACAAATGAAAAAAGTACAATCAAACACGCTTGTTGGTTAATGAGAAATTATTTTACCAGAGTAATATTCATTTTTTTACGTTTTAAAATGATTTCTTAAAACGTTTAATGTACAACAGAAGAAATATAATTCTTTAAAATGTAAACAGGGTAAACTCGCGGGACTCGATTTGATTCAAAGTGTACAAGTAGAAAAAGTTTCCATATGGTGAATATCTAACTGAAAATTATAAGCCATCTGACCCACTCCCGTGTAAACATCTTCAGAAAGTATGTTTAACATACAAATTTCTCATGGATGAAACACATTGTATAAACTTTGAATTCTTTGACTTTCAATGTAGTTGTTTAAAATTTCACAGGAGGAAGAGTGGTCTTGGTGAAGAGGATGATGATGAATAAAACGTTACAAAGAATAAGTTAACAAGTTGCGCTATGCAATTCACTCAGAAGCTTTGCTAATGACGGGAGTGTCTTGTTTAGGAAAGGATTAGTATTTTTTAAGAATTAAACAAACTAGATTAGGTTATCATTATCCTACCGAAAGTCAACAGATTGTCACTTAATGAATCAGGTTTATTAATAAAGTATCGGTTCATACAATAAAAAAAAGATATTACGTAGAAATTATGAAAATGGATGCTTTGAAGTAAAAACCAAAAATGAACACAAAAAGACTCGACAAAAGAACATTTTGTTGTTTGCAAATTAAAAAATCCAACAATAATATTTAGAAACGAAAGTAAAACTGAACTCCATTCTAACGCAAGGGAATGTAATCAAAACCAGTCGTTAACAAGAAATAACCAAAGATATACAACGAAGACTAAAATCTGAGGGTGTGAATTTAATATGTTGAAGTTATATCAAAAGCCCTTGAGCGAAAAGTTAATAAAAGTCGATGTTGGTATACAGAACAGCGAATATTACATTAATCATTATGGCCTACTTATTATATTTATTGAACGCAGCTGAGATATGACAGACCTAGTGGGCACAGTAGTTATTATTCAGTAGTAAATGAGTTTGATAATCATTAAATCAAAACGATTGTCCTTAAATATTAAACGTTGCTTAATATTTTATAGAATGTTTCTATGTTAAAAAATTTTAAATGCATATTTTTGCACCTCGAAGTAATTTAAGGTGAGGTTCGTGTCAACAGGAACCATAATAAATTGTGATTTTGTATCTTTCTTTATAATGTGTCGATGTGAATGATAAAAATTGCAATAAAATCTTGTATCGTCAGAGATAATGCATTTGAAAGTATATTCCCTAAGAAATTACAGTTTCTTAGATAAAATTAAACAAATTTATTTTTACGTGAGGTGTTTTATTGGCTTTTGTTATAAATGAAGATGGATTTTTCATTTATTAATTTGACAAATTTTTATTACTTAAACGTTATTTTTCGTGGATACTCGTATTTGAGTAGACGTTGCTTTTATTTATCAAACAGTAAATTTATTTTCATCTATCAACATGACTATTCGAGAAATCTTATTAGAGAAAAATATGTACTCTCCGGCAGGATTCGAACCTGCGTTCCCCTAGAGAAGACTGTAATCAGATCTGACCTCTCGCCTACAGAGCCCGTCAATGATCAAGAAAGTTAAAAAAGTGAGTTGATCAAGCGAGTTGAAAAGTGTCTTTAAACACAGATTTTTCTTACTCTTGAAATAGACTTATCTACTCAGTTTCGTATCCTAAAGGAAGCAAAACAATTTGTAAAAGGGACATTTTACAGAACAACACATTAAATGCATTAGTTGCTTGT